GCACTTAATGTATCATTAACTCCGATGTGTTGAAACAATGCAAGTAGACATCAAATTTTCCTTTTACTTGGCAACGTGAAGCTATCACTTATTTAGGAATCCAATTACCAACACATCTTTCGGAGATTATATACAAAAAATTTTCTACCCCTCTTACGTGACATCTCCAAAGACCTACAGACATGGAAATAAACCCTGGTTTTCTTGGTTTGGTAGGGCAGCATATACTAAAGCATGAACGTGCTCCCCAGAATATTATATCTTTTGCAGACAATCCAATCCAATTACCAAACCTCATTCTTCAAATCCTATAGAACGCTCTGTACCTCCTTTCTTTGGTATAATAAACGCCCCGCCCAAGAATTAGCTTTGCCCAACTCACCATGCCCAAGAGGAGTGGAGGTATAGGACATTCCGGATATTACCGTTATTACAGGTCCTGTCACCTAGCCAGAATAGTGGACTGGACAACAAACCACACTCGTAAGGTGTGGGTTGGTGTAGAGGCTGTGATTTCTCAAAGATACCACTCTCACCTCCCGTGGCTGAAAACCTCTCACGTCCCTTCCGAGTTTCGAGAACACCCACTTATAGGTCCCTACTCTATGCTGTAGTGCTCAGTTGTTCCAGAAAAAAGAACTATCTTCCTTTCGAGCCCTCTTACTCCGCTTAAATTGAATCCGGACTTTATTCCAGGGATTTCTCCGACCTTTCTCGCTGGGTATGGCCGTGATGAGGAATCTTACAGTGGGTCAATTCTTTCAAAGATTCTAGCCTATTATCTAAAAGAAGACATTGCAAAAAGACGTGGGCCATCCATTACACTAACACCATGGATGTATAGACAAATCCACCATTTACCTTACTAACTCCCCACATCTAAAAGACTATTTCAAGACCGCTTACTGCATTTGAGAAGCTCTTGCTTTACAGACATCCCCCAGCGGCATGTTATATCTAAGCTCTATTCCCTGTCTTGAAAGTACTAAACACATCTCATTCGCGGAAGACCTGTTTCAGCCTGGCAACGTGACCTACAAACTTCAAATCTCACCAGAGGACTGGGACCACATTTACGACCATATGCATAAAGGCTCCCATTTGTGTCTCTACACAAGAAGGCAATTAATAATTATTTTTCAGATGTACATGAGTTCCATCTGTGGTTCGTGAATTTGATCCTAACGCCTCAGATCTATGCTGGAGATGTTCCCGGGCAACAGGTACTCTTCTACATATCTGGTGGGACTGCCCGCGGCTGCAACCCTTCTGGAGAAAAGTTTTGGACATAATAACACAAGTAACTACATACAACCCTAGACTTTACCCCAGCACAGTGTCTACTTCATCATTCCTCACTTTCAGTGAGGACTTATCGTAGGTCGCTTGCTTTACACATGATAAATGCGGCAAGACAGTGTATTCCGATCCATTGGCGATCGGAATACGTTCCCACCGTGCGAGAGTGGTTTCTTAGGATCATCAGGTTCGCAGAGATGGAGGAGCTGATTTCAGTGGCAAAAAGAACACTCCCGAGAGATTCAGAAAGACTTGGGCGTGTTGGAATCATTTCCCAAACTACGATACTTATCATTTGTCTAATGAAGGAATGAGCGAGAGGAGATTTGGTGACACGGAAACCCCTAGAAACGTTCACCTCAGGAATAGTTACATTACGGACATTTAACGAAAATTGTATTTCTAAGTAAAGATTGAATCTGTCTCAGCTGGAAGCTGCTAACTGATATGTCTGGTTTTGTTTATGCCTATATTTAGTTATATAACTCATCCTTCCCCCATTCACCTCCCCCCCCCTCCCCCCCCCCCCTTTTTTTTTTTTTTTTCTCTCTCTCTCTCTCTCTCTCTTCCTCTGTATTCGTCCCCTATGTCCCTCCTCGCCCACTATGATATTTTTCCTCATACTCATTCTCTTCCTCCATTCCCTTGCTCGTCTCATTCCCATCTCTTCTTTCTCTCAGTTTCACCTCTTTACCGTATTCTAACTAACTATATTTTTCATAAGGTACAGAGTACTTACAGACACACAGGTGTAACAATACTCCCTCAAATCTAATCTATAATGTTCAGGTACGGAATCCTAAGACATATATGCCTTGAGTTGACACGACTATTGTTATATACCTCACTGTCCTGTCTCTTTAGATCTCCCTACACAAGGGCTATTGTACCCCGTCTTTCTATATATTACATACTTGCTAACATCATTGCTATGGGTATATACTATGCCTTCTCTTAGGACTGTATTTCAGGTTGTGCTAACGATTGACTTATATGTCCTGAACCCGTCTGCGTTACGGGAGAAACATGCTTAAAGACTTGCGCGGACTGCGATCCGTATTTGTTTATGACTTGTTATGCCTTTCATATCTCAATCAAAAAAATTTCTTGGAAAAAAAAAAAAAAAAAAAAAAAAAATATATATATATATATATATATATATTTTTTTTTTTCATACTGTCACCAGTCAGTGTCCCTGTTCACCGCCATGCCAGTTATATGATTGACGCTGTACTGCACTGGTGACAGTATGTAAAAAAAAAAATAGTGAAAATAATTTTTTTAATTTTTCATTTTCCGAAAAATTATGACAAAAAAATACAACTTCAAAAAACTCGCCATGCCTCTTATGAAGTACGTCAGACTGTCTACTCTGAAAAAAAAAAAAAAAAAAACCCAAAAAAAATAAAAAAAAAAGGGGTCATTGGGGATATCTGTACTATTCTGACATTCTTGGACCTCAAGAAATTAGATTGGCTGTCAGTACTGTCAGGATTGATCAATATTCAGATTATACCATAGTTTGTGAACTTATAACTTTCCTACAAACTAAAAAATACATCCTAATTTGGGTTATTTTCACCAAAGACATGTAGCAGAATACATCTCGGCCTAAATTTATGAAGAACAATTATTTATTTGTAAACTTTTATAACAGAAACAAAGAAAAATGTGTTTTTTTTTCAAAATTTTTGGTCTTTTTTTGTTAATTTAGCAAAAAATAAAAACCCCAGCGGTGATTAAATACCACCAAAAGAAAGTAATTGAAACGGTTAAAGAACAATGGAGATGGGCTACAGTCATTAGGCCTCATACACGAGGACAAATATCAGATGAATGATTGTCTGTTTTTTTTGTAAAAAAACAAATAGGTTAATAAGACAGAATACAATTTCCCGCGATGATGTGATGTTTTGTATTGTATTTTAATGTATTCTTTTGTTTCCAAGCATGCCTGGTATTTGGTATTGGTCACTCAATTTTTTGTGGATGAATACTGTACTGACTTAAATTTGTTCATTATCCTACGAGAACAATTTTCTCATTGTGTGTAATAGGCATTAGGGGAAACAATCAACAAACAATAGCAGTGATGATCACCTAGAAAACAATAGAAAACACAATAGATAAAAGCACTGGCTTACAATACCAGCAGTAAATAACCAATAGACAATGTTTGTATTGTAGCAACTAAGGCTGGCCATAGACGGGCTGTTTATCGGCTGAATTGTTGGCCGATAAAGGAAAAGTCGGTCGTTGCTGCCACCAGTGCTTACAAAAGATGTCTGTTTTTTGTAGATTTTCCAGCATGACCGATAAAAATAAATGAGAAGAACCACAAAAATAGGCCGACGACATTGCCCCACTAATGGTGTGAATATCAGCTGATTTTTCGTTCAGACGAAAATTCGCCCGATAAACGACCCGTCTATGGCCTGCATAAGACTGTATACTAAATGAAATGAATAATACAAATACAGGCCAATACCCATAGACATGTCAAAAAGAAACTTAAAATACTCTTTACCACAAACCATTATCATTTAATTGGTCTCTATCTGGTCCACTGACCATACGTAGCAACTTTTAAACTTCAACCTTTCCAAAAATGAGGATATTAAAAACATACACATTACTAAAAATCTTCCCACTACAGTTAGCTTTAATTTCATACAAATACAATGCATTTAGCTGAAATAAACAAAATAAACTGAAGACACCCACTGTAAGGCTTTTCACAAAAATAAAGTCTGCCAACTGGTTTGCACAACACCTTGTTTTTTTGCCTTACTAATAAAGTATGCTTTCAAAGAATAAAAAAAAAATGTATATCAAAGAAAAGAAAACTATGGTGCATTCTCCTTTTCTCAAGTTCAAAAATTCACCAGTTAAAACAACAAAGTACCCATTTCACATACATAGGGGTTGATTTACTAAAACTGGAGAGTACAAAATCTAGTGCAGCTCTCCACAGAAACCAATCAGCTTCCATGTATTTGTAAAAGCTTAATTGCACAAGCTGAAGTTAGAAGCCGATTGGCTACCATGTAGAGCTGCACCAGATTTTTCACTTTCCAGTTTTAGTAAATCAACCCATAGTATTGCTGTGGCCACAATCACTGTTGATAATCTGGATCAGCTTGAACTCACCCCAATAACCTTACCTGCATATGCAGATCTAGGTGTTATGATGCTGATACTGTCAGTCTACTATCCTATCTGGATTTTTCAAATCTACAGGTATATAACATGGTAATAATGTTCAGATAATTGGGTTTAAAGCTTGAACAACAGAAATGTATTGAGTACAGCAAAATGACCTAAATATGGCAAACCGACAATCTATATACAAGGTACTTATCAAGCATGATTATAACATATTATATATTATAAGTAGAAAAACAATGGAATATACAAGATGTATAATAAAGCATAAATACTGTAAATACCAGGATACATCTCATATTTACTAGGTTAGTTGGGTGAGAGGGACCAGTAACTCCGGTGGTCAGAAGACTAATTTTACCCTCAGGTGTCTCCTTTAACCGCCTCCCACCCGCCATATAAGGTAATGATGGGCGCAAGGCAGTTCTCTTGTTCTGGGAGGTCGTTATATGACGTCCTCCATCTCTTACCCGCGCGTGTGCGCGGCTCCGGGAGAGTGCAGTGTGGCGATCAGTGGTGCGCTGTGTCCCTTGGACTCAGCAGATCACCGATCAACGGAAAGAGCCGAAGATGTAGGCTCGGTCATGTGATCAGCTGTGTCCAATCACAGCTGACTGCATGTAAATAGGGAAATGCCGGTCAACGGCATTTCTCTCCTCACGAGCTGTCACGCTGACAGCTCGTCAGGAGAGGAGAGCCAGTAATCGGCATTCCATAGAGAGGACATGTACACTGATCATCAGGGCACTGATGATCAGTGTGCCCTGATGATCAGTGTAGCCCCATCAGTGCCACCTGTCAGTGTCCATCAATGCCAGCTATCAGTGCTCATCAATGCCACCTGCCAGTGCCCATCAGTGCCTCATCAATGCCACATATCAGTGCCTACCAGTGCACATCAATGCTACATATCAGTGTCCATCTGAGCTGTCTTTCGGTGTCACCTATCAGTGCCAGTCAGTACCACCTATCAGTGCGCATCAGTGCCACCTGTCAGTGCCCATCAGTGCCGCCTGTCAGTGCCGCCTAACAGTGCCAGACAGTGCCCACCTAACAGTGCCAGTCAGTGCCGCCTAACAGTGCGAGTCAGTGCCGCCTATCAGTGCCACCTATCAGTACCGCTTATCAGTGCCATATATGAGTGCTTCCTTTCAGTGCCCATCAGTGCCATCTACCAGTGTCTCCTCATCAGTGCCCATCAGTGCCACCTATCAGTGCCCATCAGTGCAGCCTATCAGTGTCCATCAGTGCAGCCTCATTAGTGCACATCAGTGAAGGAGAAAAATCACTTATTTACAAAATTTTATAACAAAAACTAAGAAAATCTTTTTTTTTTTTTTCAAAATTTTCTGTTGTTTTTGGTTTGCTTAGCAAAAAATAAAAAACCCAGAGGTGATTAAATACCACCAAAAGAAAGCTCTGTCTCAAAAAAATGATACAAATTTCATATGGGTACAGTGTTCCATGACTGCGCAATTGTCATTCAAAGTGCGACAGCGCTGAAAGCTGAAAACTGGCCTGGGCAGGAAGCGGGTATAAGTGCCTTGTAGGCAAGTGGTTAATACAGGGCTAGATCCCATAAATAGCACTGTGTGGCACTCATTAGTGGGGCAACTACTAAGAATCCAATAAAATTAGACTAGTCCTTTCAGAATTGGTTACTTTCAAATATACTCTATTCTCTATTAACAAATCAAAACACATCCATTGCTAGTTTCACACCAATGCAGTTTGCATTTGATCAGTTTCTGCAGTGTGTTTTGCCTTTTTGCACATGCGTTTTTGACACGTTTCAGCAAAAACGCAGCAAAAATGCACTAAATGCTTTTCTGCACCATTTCCATTGAAGTCTACAGGACCAAAAATGCTACTTTTTGCGTTTAAAAAAGAAAGAAAGAAAGAAAGAAAGAAGGAAGGAGGGAAACAGGAGATAGAGAGAGAGAGAAAGAAAAAAGACGTATAGAAGGAGGGAAAGAAAGGAAGATGGAGGGAAAGAAAGAAAGAGGGAAAGAAGGAAAAGGGAAAGAAGGAAAGAGGGAAAAAAAGAAGGAGGGAAAGAAAAAAGAAAGAAAGAAAGAAAGAAAGAAAGAAGAAGGAGGGAAAGAACAAAAGAAAGAGAGAAAGAAAGAAAGGAGAGCAACAGGGGACAGAGAGAGAGCGAGAGAGAAAGAAAGAGAGATGTATTGAAAGAAAGAAGGAAGGAGGGAAAGAAAGAAGTAAAGAAGGAAGGAGAGAAAAAAGGAAGGAAGGAGAGAAAGAAAGAAGGAAGGAAGGAAGGAAGGAGGGAAACAGGAGAAAGAGAGAAAGAAAAAAGAGACATATAGAAGGAGGAAAAGAAATAAGGATGGAGGGAAAGAAGGAAGGTTCAAAAGAGGGATGGAAGGAAGGAAGGAGGGAAATAAAGGAGAAAAGAAAGAAGGAGAGAAACAGGAGACATAGAGAGAGAGAGAAAGAAAAAGAGACGCATAGAAGGAGGGAAAGAAAGAAAGAAGGAGGGAAAGAAAGAAACAACCTTATCTTGCAAAGAACTTAAGTTCTCCTTCTTGCCTAGGACAGCTGGATGTGCTATGCCTGGGAGGAATAGCAAGAGAAAGGCTTAGTCAGCCACTTTACTAGCTCCTGCATTATGAGCCAATGAGGTGAAAAAAAAGGGAATTTTGAATTACCTGTAAATTCCATATCTTGGAGAACAGTACAGGACAGAGGCTGGATATTCATAGACCTTGGCTGCTACTTTCAGTTGATTGGTAATTGGCAAAGTTTTGCTGGCCACACCTTCTAGGAGTTCTCTGTAAAGCCTGTGTTTTTTTAGCAAGCAATGCCACCCCCCCCCCCCGTACTGTACTTCATGACATGGAATTAAGAGGTAAATTCATATACCCTGGGATGTTCCAAAACAATGAATGAGAAGAGTGGGCAACAACAAGGCAAGCAGAACTGTGCCAACAGACCCAACAAATACAAGCGTTAACTTACCCAACTTGGAGTGCTGCTACAAGAACCTTGCAACTGAAGGCTGCATCCGAAGAGGCTTAGATGTCCACCTGGTAGAACTTGGAGAGAAAGTATGAACTGAAGACCAGGTGGCAGGTGCCCAGGAAACACCCACTGATCTGGTGGCGTAAGCATGTAATAGGTGCTTTATCCTTTACAGCATAAACTCTTGAGATGAGTTACCTTATCCATCTGGCAATGGTGGATCTTGAAGCGGGATGCACTTTGTGAGGACCCAAAGGAAGGACAAATAGAAAGTCCATCTTCCAAATAGATGTGGTTTTAAATAAACTCATATAGCTCTGACAATGTCCATACAGTGAAGAGTGGTCTTCTTTGGGCGCTTAGAGAGAGAGAAAGAAAGAAAGGAGAGCAACAGGGGACAGAGAGAGAGCGAGAGAGAAAGAAAGAGAGATGTATTGAAAGAAAGAAGGAAGGAGGGAAAGAAAGAAGTAAAGAAGGAAGGAGAGAAAGAAGGAAGGAAGGAAGGAGAAAGAAAAGAAGAAGGAAGGAAGGAAGGAAGGAAGGAAGGAAGGAAGGAAGGAAGGAAGGAAGGAAGGAAGGAGGGAAACAGGAGAAAGAGAGAAAGAAAAAGAGACATATACAGCACTTTGTGAGGACCCAAAGGAAGGACAAATAGAAAGTCCATCTTCCAAATAGATGTGGTTTTAAATAAACTCATATAGCTCTGACAATGTCCATACAGTGAAGAGTGGTCTTCTTTGGGCGCTTATGAATAGGGAACAAAGAAGGAAGGACTTTGCCTTCGCTGAGGTGGAAGACTGACACCATTATAAGAGAGAGCTGCTAACTTGGAGACATATTTGATAGATGTGATAACTATCCATAAGGTTACCTTGCAGCAGAGATCAACATCAAGGGGAATTCCTTGAGGGGTCCAAATGGTGGTTTCTACAGAGCATAGAGAACAAACTTAGTATTCCAAGGAAGCACAGGATGCTGTAACGGTAGTCCAATCTGAGAAACACTTTGGAGAAAGGGTTTTTAAGGGAAAGTGAAGCCAGGGGTTTTGGGAATAGAATTGACAAGGCTTAAACCTGTCCCTTCAGAGAACTTAAGGCCAAGGAGTGAGGATGCCCCTTCAGTATTGTGCTGATAGCTGAATTTTGTTTGAAGCTTGAGGAGACCAATTGGGCACTCTTCTTTTTGAGGATGTAGTAGCCCCGAAGCCTTCCATTATGGTTCTAGGGCCTTTTCCTTTGATGAATTTGTGCAATGCCTCACCAAAGAGAAATCCTCCCTCAAAGGGCATGTTTGAGGCATATTTTGCAAGCAGCTTCAGCTGACTATGCATTCAAACATAAGAATTTGTGCCTATGAACAGAAATGAGAGCCTATTTGGAGAGTTTTGTCATGACTTGTTTTTAGAGCATCAATGCAAAAGAGTAAGGTGGATAGTACTGTTTGTAAATGTTCAGACAGAAAGCAGTCCTGGAAGACAGGATCATGCCGATAGTTCATTGCTGTAGTCCAATTAGCTGTGGTTTAACAAACAAAGTGTAGTGAAAGCTGGTTGCAGAGCTGGCCTGTAAGGTTAAGATAACCTTTAAGAGCATCTCACATTTTCTGTCAGCAGAATCTTTAATAAAAATCTTCTATAGGTACAGCAAAATGCTTGTTTAAGACTGCAGAGTCTACCACCAGAACAGTCTATTTTTCTGTAAACATTTTCCATTGGATAGAGCTTGGCAATTATTCTTGCTGGGATTAATTTTTTTTTCAGGACTGACCAATATTCATATATTGCCCATTCTCTTTGTTCATGAATGGGGAATGTCTTTTTAGATTAACATGTCTCTTAGTACCCAAAGGGGCATGTCGAGATGGAGCAGAATCAAATGGGAAATGCCAAGGCTTTTGAGCACAGCAGAAATTAGCATATTAACATTAACAAGTGTATTGTGTGAAGCTATAACAGCAGGTGTTTATAATCTTCACGGCCTCCTCTAATACCACATCCTAGTCCTCTTAATTCCTCTCAATGTCTGCCTCTTCTAGAACAGGCATACTGGAATCCAAATTAGGTAGAGACAGTGGGGTGGAGAAGGAGCCATTTGTTACTGAGCCATGGACACTAATGGCTGTATTAAAGCTATTAGGCTGGATACACACGTAATGCTTTTTTCATTCAACCCAGCAAGCTGAATGGAAAAAAATGGAGAAATTGCCATTATAATAAAAGTGAAGTTAGTGCCATGATCTCCTCTGCTGTGCCTTTGTGTTCTGAAAGGGGGACTGCCCCCCCCCTGCCACAACACATTGGCCATTGGCTGTGAGCACTGATCAGATGTTGGTTTTTCAGCATGTCCCTTCGTCAAAAGCTGGTCATTAGAAAGGTTTCTGTCAGAAAGACAACTGTACACACTGACTGAATGCCATCCGGTTCCTGTTGAACCAACTGGTCGATGTTCAGCCTGTATGTACTCAGCCTTAGTTATCTGAGAAAGTCTGACACAGTTGCACTGGAACAGAGCTAGAATTGGATGCAGAGACTGGGGTTAAAATTGGGTCCTGCTCTGGTGCTAGGGGAAGCATCTTTACTCTGTGTGGTTTGAGTGTTTTGCATAAGCTTTTGCCTCATTTCCCTTGCATTTGGATTCTGATATTGCTAGCAGAGAGGGTATTCCCCTGTGAGTTGGTCATGGAGTAGTGTGCATAAATTAGGTCTGTGTGAAGGAGTATCATTATCACCAAGGCTTTTTTTCAGAGGGAACGTGGGGAAACTAAGTTCTGGCACCTTTCAGCACTGAATGTATGTAATGGCAAGGGGTGCTGGTCAGTGTTGGAAGGTCTTTTGATGCTGGCTGCTAGGGGACCTATTGTTACTGGAGGGGATCTATTTTTGCATGGTGATCTATTGCTGCCGGGAAGGTCTGTTATTTTTAGTGGGGGAGCTATTGTTGCTGGGGGTGTTGCTGAAAGGGATCTACTGTTGAGGTAGGGGCCTATTATTGCTGGCTGCTGGACAGCCTGTTGATGCTGACTACTGAGACATCTGTTTTTGCTGCTGAAGGTCTACT